ACAAGATTGTGTGCGCTCAGGTCAGCCTTATTTTGGTGAGCTATGCAGGACCATTCGACATAGACAAGGAGAACACAAAGATGCTTGTAAAGGTCCAATGGCCCAAATGTCCAATGGTCATAAGTGGCCGAAAATGGAGCCCAGAGACTGGACATGTTCTCAAACGAATGGGTTTACTGATTACAGTACATTTGTTGTTATAAGGAAGATAAGATAGCCTATTGAAAGGAATAGCTTACGAAATAGGGTGAATGTGAGGAATAGTGGTAAAAAGTTGATTAGGAACTACTTATGCTTGATTGATAGATTGACGGAGAGAGAGAGGGTGTTGAGCCTCCATCCAAAAGAAGACGCCTCATCTTGTCCGTTCAGTGATTCTTCTAACTTCACTCACACTCGTCCAACATGTTAGATTCAGCTCATCAACCAAAACTAAACCAGACGTGTCAGATTACGCAGCTCCAGTCATGCCTTTCCTTGAGGGGTTCAACGTTAATGACCCTCGACTGAGAGGTTAGGACAAGTGGTTTCGTAACTTGACTTACACACTTACAAGCTTACATCTCATTATCTCAATCATACTTGATTACAGACCTACGCAGTCTCGGTCGAGCTTTTTCATTTTCTTCGGTTATTAAGCCTCGGTGACCAGATTCTGGCATTAGTCATTTTGATCAATCTCGTTTAGGACCGTCATTAAGTATAGACTTTTATCCTTACACGCATACACAAGTACATGAACACACTCGAACAAAAGTAGTAGGACCGGTATTAAACATAATTAGCCAAACCATCCTATATCTTTTTATGCTCTTTTATGTTTGTTTTTAATTATGAGTATATATAAGAGGTAAGATAGAGACGAATAGTCTGCTTGACATAGACTTTGTTGACGTCAACCTTTTACAGGAATGAGTTCCAGCTCTGGTAAAGTCCATGGCACGATGAACGAAAGCTCAGCCCATTTCCACTCGAAACTAGGGAGGATGTCCCGTAGATTTTGTCGACATGAAGATCCTAGTAGTTGCAGTAAAAAGGGATTATGGCGTTGACTTCTAGTGAGATCAGCCAATCTCTTCTTTTCCATACACTTTCATGTGAGCTGAATTTCTTCTCACAATTATACCAAATATACTATCTTCAATAGGATTATCTTGAATTTGAAATATTTAGATTCTACCAAGAGCAGGAGTTATTTCTCAAGATTTTGTTGGTAGACATAAATTTTAAGTTTGTCGCGGGCAACATTTTTTTATGATACTTTTTTTGTAACCTCATTCCATATATTTTGGGTGTGTTGAATTGGGCGAAGATTTTTGAAGTGTATTTCATCTATTTCGATTAGGCTGATAATTAGGTTATTAGTTCAATTTTCATATAATTAAATAAATATTCATGATGTTTCCATTAAGTTTAACATGGCTTTGAGTTCTTAAATCTTGTTACCATTCAGAGTAGACCGCAGTTTTGGCCTCAAATATGTCTTATCAAAACCTCAATAGCGCGGCTTGAAGCATGATGCTGGAGAGCTTAATCTCGGTACGCTAAAGAGTACGCCAGATTGCCCCTAATGCCTTTAAGTCAACATGGAAAATTTTAGTTTTAAGGGAGGCATTTTTCCCATATACTATTCTATGGTGTTATTTTCGATGAAGCAAAGTTGTATTTGCTATAGCAATCGACTAAGTTTCATATTTTTTGTTCGCAATTAGGCTTTCAAAACCAATAATATATAATCTAAATGAGGTGTATTCATCCCATTTCGTTAAAGATGATAACGGGACTAGTAGTTGAAAAATCTTATAATTATATGAATGGAATTGAAGATTTTTCACTCACTACTATGCCATCTCCATAAAATAGGCAATAATAGACAACATATAAAGAAGCAAAGAGTTATAAATTGAATCGGATTACCACAGAAAATGCTCTAAAAGTTCTCATCAGAATGTACCATGCCAAGACAAAATCACTTGTATAATTAGAGTTAATTAGTTGGCTAAGTTTTTTTTAATATTCTGGTTTTCATGCTAGGTTAATTAAACTTTTGCTATCCTTTTATAGCAATTTATCGGTCAAAACCCAGACTCAAACCAAACTGAATAGATTTAAGTGGTAGGTCCATCACAGTAGAATAAACAATCAAAAATATGTGAGAATCAATTTATATAAATAAAGCTCAACTAAAATTTGCCTATTATTTTACTAGAGTTCTCCGTACTAGGGTATTAGAGTAACAATACGTGTTGAGTTAAATAAAGTGAATTTGAGGTTTTACATAAATATTCTGCAAAGGAAACTTGGAAAAAGTTGACGTGACTTTTATCTCACAAGATGCTGCCTTATCAAAAACAAGATAAAGCCTCGTTGATCTTTACAAGTTCGGGTATTGCTATTAAAAAAGTACAAAAAGCTGAATTAGTCGGTTAGTTACGGTAAAGTACAGAGAAGCAATGAGGCCGAGCCTTTATCAATTGCAGATAGAGGTTTAGTAAGAAAACTTCTTTTACGGTAATGACAGATCTCAGCTAATATAACGGCAACTTGAACTTGATTATTCGTAAGCAGTCTTAACCTCCTTACTATGCCTTTAAGCTGTCTTTAATACTAAAATGAGGCATTCTGAATAACCTTCATTTCCCTGGAATTATATTGTTTTATTTTCGAATAAGCCCTGTGGCATGCCAAACTAATCGCAATTTACGGGAATGATCAAGTAAAGGGAATATAAAACCGAGGTTACGGTTGGACGATGTCACTTAACACTACATGACTGCTGAGCTACCAGATGAATATTCTCTAGGGGACAACTAACAAGTATAACAATTTTAATTTGAAATGAATTATCTTATAAGGTATGTGCCATTCATGGCAATAATCTAGGTAATATGACTATACACATACTTTTTTCAAAGAAAGAATGATAGTGATAGAGATATTTATATTGAAAAATAAGTATATATTTTTATAAAAGTGCAACTATATTTAATTCCATTTTGATATATTAGGAAGATAGATATATAAATATAGCTGCGTCGAATAAGTTAAAATTAAGGCATAACTTAATATAATGTATTCCTCCAAAATGACAAAATGCTATATTGTCAGATAGAGTTAAAATCTTTAAATTGAAATTATAATTTCTGTTTCTTATTGTAAGTAAATAGGCATCAATTGTTGCTTCCTTAGTTACGAAGACTCAATGAAGATCCAGTAACTTACTTCCATTACTCTTCGACTTTGAATTCTACTTAGTATAAAACTACTTTAAAAAAGGATGTCACTGTACATTTTATTTTTCATTTAAGACATTTGTGTCAAAGGATGGTCTTACCAGTAAATACCATCTCCACAAATAAAATTCCATGAGTAATCATAGAGACAGAATTTTTTTCATTGAATCATTAATTGGTTTTCGATAGACCTTCCAATATCTCATTTATGAGTTGAATTTTGCATCGTATACAAATTTATAAAAAGGAGATTCGCGAGTGGACCCCACCAATAAATGACAAAGGACGATCATCGTTGTGTAGTTTGATTTTGCTGGATAATGCAGATTGATGCGATCCTTGAAAAAGCTCCCTCCGTTTCAGGCGAGAGTGATCCGAGATTCAACAATAAAGTCGCATGGCAGCCATCATCAGAGCTGTATCACGATCTTCTAACAACTCGGGAAAAAACGAACTAATTATTCTGAGCAATTGTTGACTTGAATTTGCTAGAAGAGTAAGGTCCAGACGCAACTGCGTCACTTAACTGGCATTAAGGGTGAAAATTTAACAAAGTTTTATTGTAACTAAAAAATAGATTTCCTGAGAACTGCCCTAGCCCTGAATTCTCACTAAAATAAAGCAGTTGTAGACCAGGGGAATGTGCTGTTATCTTATGGCAAAATAACTTTAACAAGCCAAGATTAGCCAAGATTTTTCCTGATTTGTTAAGAGACCCAATAGAAAAACAAGCTTAACAGGCTTTTTGTAATATACTCATTTTATCTTGAAAATTAAAGTAAAATAGAATATGAGAAGTGTTCCCATTATTTCGTCTAAGGAGATGAAAGACTGGTAGTTGAAATTTCCCACAATCCTATGAGTAGACTTTACGTTTCTATAGAATTTCACATGGCATTGTTTTCCCAAAAGGTATTCTTATCCAAGTTGGACTGCAAGTTAAACAAGCTAGACATCGCCTAGGCCTTAGCGGGGTTCGAACTGCGTCAGTGCCTCGTATGCTATCGACGCGTTAGCCAATACGCCACATTGCTACGTCTGGCATATGTGGATTTCAAGGAAGGTCAGGCATTTTCCCATGCCACATTCGATGGTGGCATTGTCGCTAACACAAAGTTGTATTTTCTATATAAATCGATAAATTACTAATTGTCTGTTCTCTAATAGAGCCTATATCAGAAAACCTATCTATGAGACGAAAAATAATTAATATGATCGATTGCTATAGCAATTACAACTTTAATAAATCGACAATCAGACCTTTGAAATTTTCATCTGTTCTGTGACTATGGACACTAGTATCAATGTGGTGTGGTGACTAGCGTGTCGAGCTTATATACTTCACTGTCCTGGTAGAGTCCCACTGGGGTGCTGATTAGACCCGTTTGGACGAGGTCAAAACTGCAGTTTTTGCATTTGGGACAGCAAGGCTATGGGAAATTCATTGGAAGTGAAATACCTACTCTTATGAATGTGGGCAACTTCAACTACCAGTCCGTAATCCTCTTAAACAAATTAAGTGAATACAGCTCCAGCATCAACAAATCTTTTCTTATCGAAATGGAACGGCTGCCGTTGTCGGTAGAAAGAGCATTTTGAGATGTCAAAAAAAAGTTGTTATATCGTACTCAAAAAAAACTCCTGTTCCTCAATCTTGTGTGATATATTCATCTTATTTACAGCCTGTCCTCATTCGTATATGTTATCCTTGGATCCGAAGGTACTTGGGATTGGGACTACCTCACAAAATGCCGATGACCAGCATTGATGAGATCTACCCTGTGGCGAATTCGTTATCAAGGGACTCCATGCCATGCAAGTTTGATGTCTGCCTGTGACACTGCCCTAGGGCTCATAGTCCCGAGACAGGTTCATCGGTCTGAGTATGCCAATGAGGCAAAGTATGGCAAAATCTCGGCTAACGAAGCCAAGGTGTTGAGGCTTGCGCATTCTGATCAGTCCTCAGATGTCGTCACAAGTACATGTGGATTTGAGTCCTATGAGGGCAAACCTTCAGTGTTCCTTTTAGACAATTGTATAGGACCGGCCAAAACTCTTCTGGCTTGCATTCCGATACTTTAGTGAAGACACAAGTCTCGCACAATTAGAATTATGCTAGGAAAATTTGCTTACAGTAAAATAATTCGGTTTTTAAGAACGCCCTAATGGATTCATTTTACACTACATTACGTTTCTTTCGAAGAGGTGGGTTGAAAAGATTCATACTTTGGCCTAGTCACAAACGAGGGGAGATTTGAACATTTGGAGCTTTAAACAATTAGAGCAAAACAGGGAATTGAACTAGGCTTATAGTTTCCTGATTTCACTGGTCTTTTAGATTTAAAGCCACGAAAGTAATGCGATACCATTATAAAACAAGGAAGGAATCAAAGTGTGTTCTTGTGATTTTTAAATTTTTGAGTATAAACTGGACCTTAAACTAAAATTCAATAGAAAGGGAGAAGAAAACTTTCATTTTTAATAGGAAAAACAAGTGTATAAAAATAGGTAAGAATTCTTTTTGGTTATTGCATAGAATTAGAGTGAGAGAGAAAGATGACAAAAAAAACGCCAAGTGAGAAAGGGGGGCTTGATAAACCTGGAGTATGGTGTATACTCTAAAATTTCAAATAATTAATAAATATTGCCTTTATACAAAGCACATCCAACAACAAGACTAAATATGCTTAAGCATGGCAGACACAAATTTTCGTTTGTAAGAAGATTTTCATGATTATTAGTAGATCTTATATAAGAGTTAACCCAATTTCGTTTAAGGTGATATAGAATTGGCAGATGAATTTTCCTGCAATAAGATGATTAGGTTTCAATTTTTCGCTACATTTCACACAACTTTGCTCGTAAGAAGTTGTTATGCTTTTTTGATTTCGCCTGAACTAGTCTCATCAGCACCTCTAACGGGAATTAATCCTTGTTTTCTGTATTCAAGGATTTTGAAGTAATCTAACACCAAGGCGGAGCTGAAGATGCATGATAGAAGTCAAACCTGATACTAGCCTGTATTAACATATTAAAAAT